ATACACTTTCACTTAGGCTATCTGTAAAGACTGGAGGTCTGCTTGGTGAAAGAACGATGTTTTTATTCCTTAACCTAGACCAACATCGTGAAATATGATCCATCAAAATACTGCCATAACCTTAGAAAGCTGGAGCAAGACTTAACACATGTAGTTCCTGTATCTGAACTCACTTGGCATTTGGAAGGGGGAGATGACAGTATAAGCAAAAAGCGACAGGGAGAGTTCCCTGTAACACCCAAGTTACCCAAAAAACTGAGACAACTGGGCAGTGAGGATCTAAATGGCACAATAGGTCTTCCTTCTGGGTGCCCGTCACAGTTAAACATAAGCTCATCACAAAGATCAACCAAATCCAATGAGTTGTGTAAATTATTTCCATCAATCAGTAAAACATCAGGAAGAGATTTACCATTAGGTAAAAGCAGTGTTCATAGAGATATATATCAGAAAAGTATGAATGTTTTTGATGGTAACTCTGATTCTGAAGAGGAAATCAGAGCAGTGATAAAGAAAGAGATGGAGAGACAGAAAGCTGAAAAAAGTGTTGAGACTGAAAGTGACCCCTTGGAAATTGTTGGAGATGACTTTAAGCTAAAATACAATACTCACTGGTCTTTACACAATACAGATACCATGAAGAAACTCCACAAAGGAAGTAGTAGAGAGCAAGAGTCTATGGAATGTGACAATGGTTATGATTCAGCAGATACAGATGAAATTATTGCTGTGAGTAGATCTCCTGAGCTAAGTAGTAGGAAAACCACAATTTTAGAGGATTGTAAACAAGTACAGCTGAGAAAAAATAATGATCAAGAAATATTAAGTAATAAAAAATATGATTTGGTAAATGATTCTTCACTGAAAACACATAATTTAAAAGAAGAAAAGATTAGAAGAGAAGGGAAAAAAAGAAAATCTAAAATTCCTGCTTCCCAAAGTATCACAGTTAACAGTACAAATAAGACACGTGCCTCTGAAAATTCTTATTCAGAGTCTGAAGAATTGGAATCTGATACAAGTTCTGTATATGAGTCTATGATGCAAAACTGCTACCGTTTAGAGCTCACACTAGATGACTTAAAAGCATTAGCTGCTGAAAATGCCGATACTTCAGTGGAGGGTGCAGATAATACACAGAGTTCTAGTGAGTGCAGTGTTGAAGAAAATGCTAAGGGCACTGTCACATATAACAGAAAACATTCTAAAATTCTCCCTGCACTTAAAAAATGTATCTGTCCAGATGATATAGTTGCTGCCCTTTTAGAGGGGGAGGAAAATGCTGAGGAAGAAAGTGCCAAGGAACAAAATAATCCAAGTTTGAAGTATCAACCCTTCAGAGGAATGGCATCCCTTTGTGAAAAAGAGCTAACTAAGGACAGCTTGGGTTTGAAGAAGTCGTCTTTGGGAAACTTAGATTTTGAATCTTGTTTTTCTCGGTCTGCGGAAGAGTCATCTGCATCAAAGAACACTCCATTGCGCTCACTTGGAGTCAGTGCTGAGAAGAGGCACAATGTGCATGGTGGCCAACTCGAGGAACTGTCAGATGCTGCCGTCTTGGCGTGTAAGAGTAAACAGCCTATTTGCAGGCCACCCTTGGAAGAAAAGAGCAAATATGTGAATTCTCAGCAAGAAGACGGAAAGGCAGAATGGGGAGATACTGTTCCTAGTGTCGATGAAAGTGAGGATGACAGCAGTAACATGGACAATAATGCTCCCGTGTCTCAGGAACACATTAAAGGACAGTTGAAGAGTCCAAGATTGCAGTCAAAAAAACTGAAAAGAGATGTAAGCAATGAAAATGGGAAGATAAGTGTTTCGGAAAGTAAGGAGCTTTGCTGTCATGTTACTGCTTCCAAAGAACCCGATACAAGTAAGAAACAATTGCAGGATAACCAGAGGAGACTTGCGGCTCTGGAAGAGAGGCAAAAAGAGAGACAATTACAGAAAAAGCTCATACAAGGAGCTCTCTCAAATCTGGTAATTACTTTTTACTTTGTTTGTTT